CCTTAGAAGCCATTGTGCTATGGAATGGATGCCTGTCTTTAATCACTCTGATGTATGGTGGGTTTATATAGGTAGCCAGTAATATACACCGTAGCCTGTGATGCAGTAATGTAAGAGTGGAATAATTTCATAAGACAAATAAAATGACTGCCAATGAAAGAGCCTGCCAATATGTTCACTGTAACTATAAAATAACGTTAGCACTATGGCTTCTAAAAAGTGGAATCTTTTCGAAAGGGCATTGCCTGGGCAAATTACTAGAGAAAAATGCAGTATCAAACTATAAGTTGGACCTCCATGGTCCAACACCCTCGGGAGACCTGACTGATCATAGATGAGGGATTTTGCCAGACCAGGAGAGGTCATTTCTGGCCCCCTGCTGCCAGTCCCATGCCAGGCTTCCTGGCTCTCCTCACAACCTAGCTGAGTCACACGCGGGCTCCTGGTCACATCTCCGCCTAAGCTCAGCTGAGCTGTGCTGGCTCCCAGCCCCCACCCAGAACAGCTGAGCTGCACACCAGGCTTCCTGGCTCCCCCCACTCTCTTGCATCAGGTCAGGCTCCCAGCCCCGTGCAGTGCACCGGGGCACTGATCCTGGAACAGACTTGCCTAGAGTTCCAGTTTACAAAAGTTCAACCTGTACACAGCACAAATTCTCTCAATATGCTGAACAAAGCCAAACTGACACCAACCACCAAGGAAGAATCAAACTCCTTTAAAAAAAAAACCACTCCAAAATACCTTCAGGAAGAATGACAGTATCAGTAGTTTCCTCAGTGCAAAGCACTGTAATTCTCCTATGTAATCAGCTTGATGTTTGGTTTTACTAAGCCACTGTGGCAACTTGGACTTCTTCCTACATAGCCACTAATTCCCAAGTTATGGACCCTCAAAGTAATGGTTCAGTGGATAACATTAGAGGCATACTTCTGGACCTTGACTACTAAACTCAGAGAATACTTTTTATAAGACTTCAGGATCATTCTAAAGAGATGTGTAGTCAGAGTTTTCTTACACCGGGCAGTTAATTAAATGGAGTACTGAGCTTTGTATGATGAAAGTATTGAAGGAATGTGGCAACTGATAAAACATCACAGTCCGACAGGAAGCTCATCTGGCAGAGCCGTTTTTGATGTATAGGGCCTTATCATGTTTATAGCCCTGAAAAACACATCACAGAACAGGAATCATTAAAAAAGGGATAGAGAATAAGACGGAGAATATCTTATTGCCCTTATATAAATCCATGGTACACCCACATCTTGAATACTGCGTACAGATGTGGTCTCCTCATCCCCAAAAAGATATACTGGCATTAGAAAAGGTTCAGAGAAGGGCAACTAAAATGATTAGGGATTTGGAATGGGTCCCATATAAGGAGAGATTAAAGAGACTGGGACTTTTCAGCTTGGAAAAGAGGAGAGACTAAGGGAGGATATGCTAGAGGTATATAAAATCATGAGTAGTGTGGAGAAAGTGAATAAGGAAAAGCTATTTACTCGTTCCCATAATATAAAAACTAGGGTCCACCAAATGAAATTAATGGGCAGCAGGTTTAAAACAAATAAAAGGAAGTTCTTCTTCACACAGCTCACAGTTAATCTGTGGAACTCATTGCCTGAGGAAGTTGTGAAGGCTAGGACTATAACAGGGTTTAAAAGAGAACTAGATAAATTCATGGAGGTTAAGTCCATTAACTGCTATTAGCTAATACGGGTAAGGAAGGGTGTCTCTAGCCTGTTTGTCAGAGTGTGGAGATGGATGGCAGGAGAGAGATCGCTTGATCATTACCTGTTTGATTCACTCGCTGTGGGACACCTGGCATTGGCCACTGTCAGCAGACAGGGTACAGGAAGTCCCCGAGTTACGTGGATCCGACTTATTCCGCAGTTACGAACGGGGTTTGCTCCACGTCTCCCTGGTCTGCTGGAGAGTGAGGCAGTCCCCGAGTTACGCGGATCCGACTTATGTCGGATCCGCAGTTATGAACAGGGTTTGCTCCCCGTCTCCCTGGTCTGCTGGAGACCAGCAGACCAGGGAGACGGGGAGCAAACCCTGTTCATAACTGCGGATCCGACATAAGTCGGATCCGCGTAACTCGGGGACTGCCTGTACTTTCATATGAACTGAAATGAGAAAGCTATAACAAACTGTCTTGAAAACCACTGCAGCCAGTCACTGTGAAATGCAAATGCATTCTACAAAACTTTCAACAGAAGCAGAATTTACAGGGCAGAGAAGAATCCAGGTCTTTCCAACTCTTCTTCTAAGAGTTACAAATTCATGAAACCTTTAAAGAGATTCAGGAAACATCCCAGAAAATATAAAGATTAGAGATTCAAAGATGTACAGGAGTGAAAAAAAAAGGCAGAAAATAAGAAGCAAATAACTGAGGAAAAAAAAAAGGGCAGAGGAAAGCAGAGATAAAGCTAAGAATGTCTGTCTTTAAAAGATGTTTGATTTTGTCAGTTAGAAGCCAAATAATTCAGAATGTACCCCAGAGCTTTGAAGTTTGAGTAAGAAAAGCATACTCATCAATGCACTAAGTTTACAAACTAAGTTTTCTAACATAGTCAAATAGATTAGAAGATGGCAAGTTTTCAAGGTTGCACCACATGACAAAATGTAAAGAAGCCTTAACAACATTTCAACCTATAGAGCAACAGTTGAAATTTGATGAGAAATTTTTGCTATGGCTGCTCCTGACCTCTTCTTGGGTGGTGGGTATTTTTTGTTTGCTTTTTAAAATAAGCATTTCTGATTAGTGGTGTCAAATTTAAAGATGCTAGAAATAAAGTCAACTTTTGGTCTTTAATCCCACCTCAGCAAGGTGTATCTGTTTGTGGCAGGTACAATCTCTGCTACTTCAAGTAGGGATGTAAAAGTATAACCGTGTACATGGTTAACTGATGAGCCAGGGCTCATCTATTAACATGCAGAGTTGCACGCAGACTCCCAGTACGCACAGGGAGCCGGTTTTTAAGATGGCTCGCCATGTGCCCTCGCTCCCATAGAGCCACCTGTCCCTGATCTTGCCCAAGCTGCAATGCGAAAATGATGTGCTACTTGAAAGTTTCAGTGCTGCACACAAGTCTATGTAGCAGCAGAACCAATTAACTCTTGTTAAAGGAACAGTCATCTTGCAGGGGGCGGAATAACCTCTGCAAGTCTTTAAATCCACTAGTTATTTGGAATGCCTAATATATGTAACAGAGCTAGAGAATACACATTTTTCAGTGAAATTAAATAATTTGGGGCCTCTGACTATTTTCTATGGACAATTTCTCCTTCATGCTACTCCCTGTCGAAAAAAAGACTGCTGTGTAAATGGGACACCAAAAGAGCCCTTCTGAAGCTTTATTTTTACTTGCCATTTAAAGGGTGTACTATTAGGAAGTGAAATTTTGGGAATGTAGTCAATTTCAAAATTTGAAATTCACAGTGTCCTTTTAATTGTGCCTATAGATTGGGTAAAAATACTTTGTCACTTTACAATTTGATGGCATTTGGAAGATTACTGTCATAATTGCAAGAGCTTAAAACTAAGGCCAGATGTTTTGACAGAACAGCTACATTGGTGAGAGGTTTGATGTGGTTTAATCTGAAAGTGACACACACAGCTATGTTGACAAAAACCTTTAATATTTTTATACATGATGACACTGGCAAAACTGCACTTTTGCAACTATAATTTTGTTTGGGGGGGAGTTGCGGATTGGAATAGGTTTACCAATAAAGCATTTCACATGTTGAACTGGTTTAAGAGCAGGAGTGGGGAACTCTAAGGTCCACGGGCCAGATGTGGCCCTCGATTTGCCTAGATCCAGCCCCCAAGGCTTAGCCCACCCCACCCCCCAGCACTGGGGAGCATGTGGGGTTGGAGCATACAAGAACTACTAGCCTGGGCCCCACTAGGCTCTGGTGTATGAGGGGAGGTGGCTTTCTACTTCTCAGTCGGGGGCCATGATAGTGAGGATTGTTTTTGTTTTGTTTGCTTCTCACTTGTGTGCGGTCCCCAACTGATTTTTCTGTGGGTCATTGGCCCCCCCAATCCAAAACAGGTTCCCCATTCCTGGTTTAGAAGAAAGGTTGGTAGCAGAAACAGTTGATACCTTAAGTGCTCCTCTGAGAGGTCTGTCAGGAAATTTCCTACTAGACAATGACATGGTTTTTTTCAAGTCCAGAGTTCAAATTCTGGGAAATTAGAGATTAGTTTTTGAAATTTAAAAAAAAAAAATTTTTTTCTCCCTGCTTTTAGTCAAGCTATTATGGAAGGAGAGGGGGAAATCAGGAGGATTTCAACCACATTTTTGCAGAGGGTGGGAGAAAGATCCACCATATGGAAGTTAGTCATTCAGTGAACCTGTCCTTCTACTGGTGTCACCCCTGGAAGGTCTGTGGGGAGGGGGAGAACCATTCCAAATTAGTAAACTGAGTTAATGAAAGCAGGATTGAATTATTAGCAGTTGCCTTCAGAAGTTTAAGGACTGATTTCACTGAGAATTTTTCACAAACAATATACGACAACCTTTTTTGCAGCAAATTCAGTAAGACTTTTGCCTCTTACAATATAACGGCTTGTACTATTTAAAACAAAACATTTATTTTCAGTAAACCTCACTTCATATTACTTGGAAATGGAAGAAAAGTGCATTAGGATGAAAATCAGGACATTAAATCCATTTAACAACACTCGGTCAATATTTAGATATTTCTCCATTAACATAAAAGAACGCTAATACAGTGCATCTAGTTTGAAAAAATGGTAGATATTCAACACAAGTCATTTCAGTAATACAATTTTTAAGCCTATACATTAGACCCTGCACATGGAACATTTTGTAATTTCACAATGCATATATCCTATTCCTCTGGGAATTTGTTCTGAGGATAAAAAGTTGCCAGTTAGCGGCACAAACCAGACAGCTGCCCCTTAAAGTGCTTTTCAATTAATTGCTATCAGAACCCTTAAGCATTTAGAAATAAATGTAAAGTTTTACCATTCTTCCCGCTGTGCTGCTGCCGCTTCAGAAAGCCATGGGGAGGAGTTTGAATCGCTAGAGGATAACCAACCAATACAGTAACTGATCAAAATTCAATTTTTAGCCTGTTAGGATTACAATCTTATTTATACCTTTTTATAAGCTTTAGCTCAATCATTGTAGCTAACTGTCAAGCAGATGTTTAAGTGCCTTAAACAACTTGAAGATGAGCAAGAGCCAACAACAGCCATTAAAATGACACCAGCAAAGGGGTCAGAAACATTACAAGCAAAAACAAGCTAAAACACGCAATTAGCACAGTACATATCAATAGGCTATAGATGGATGTTCACAACTCAAAACTGTCTCTCAGTAATAAATTATGTGCATGCCTTAGTATCACTCTTGGTAATGCAACTAAAAATCTTTCACTTGTGTTATAATTTAGTTTCCTGATGTTTACATCACCTTCCCAATGACTAATTTTTAATGCACCAACTGCAATCATTGACTAAATTTTTTCCAATGTCAGTGCTTACAGTTACACACCTAAACAGAAGTGGCCTGATTTTCCAGAGGTACTGAATAGATAGATGCTCTTGAACAGGAGCAGCAATGGGCTCCCCATTCTGATTTAAAGATTTGTCTTGATTAGGAAAATTATGGTCACTTCTGTCTTGCCTAACTCAAACCTCAACCGCCAATCCACACAGACCTTAACTCTAGATTTAATTATAGTTTTGAACACTCTTAAGTGTTCTGAACAATGCACATTTTGGAGTGCAGTTCTAGCCTGAAAAGAAGCTAATGACATTGTAGCATTCCATATTGCCTTTCAGAGAGAGTATTACAATCCCTGTAAAATCAATTTAAAAAAACAAAATAAAAACTAAAGTTCTTTTTGGCTTCTGTGCAGAATATAGAATTTAACAGAATCGTATTGAGATGCAAGGAGAAATACAATCCATCTCACTTTTGGTGGGTTGCCTCTGTAGTGCTAACAAGTGAAAAAAGCAGTGAACACTATTTCAGGCAGCTAAGGAGAAGCAGATGTGACTGAGTTAAGATGCCATTTCTGTTTTCTAAAAGTGAGACTAAAAGCCTGGGGAAAAAAAAACCCTCCAGGCAGAGTTTTCATCCTGAGAACAGTCAGAATCCATGAAGTCCACTAAAGAGTTTGCTGTTGCTCTAAACTTTTCATAGAAGGCACTACAATGATGGGAAGAGCATAAAACCCTAAAATAAAGATTCAATGTCTATTTCACAGTAGATACTAAAATTACCTTCTTTAAAGCTAAATGAAGACATAAATAAGTGTAAAAATACCGTGTTTTGAAGTGGGTGAGACTGGAGAAAAGAGGTTTTCAGAAAAAGAGAGATTGGGAGCTACTGATACCTTGGAATAGCATATAGTTTTACCCGCAGAGCACATTAGTTTTAGTAAAGGTGCGGGGGGTAAGTCGGTTCTCAACACTAGCTGAGACATCCCACATTAAGGAGGAGTTTCTGGATTCCATTCTGCCAATAACTATGGGAGCCAGAGCAGTCCCTTACAACGTCAACCTGAGATTAAGTTAGTCTCATTACGAGCTTCACAATTTCAATAGGACTCAGGTACAGCCGCACTGCATTACATAACCCCGCTCTGAGCAGAACTAGCCCATCTAGCTGATGCAGTCAATGCACAAAGTAAACAAACGGACAACGAGAGGTGCTCTGAGCGCTGCAGTGACAGCGCACTCGGGCATTTGCTGCCGGAGTCAAGCGGGCCGGGGAACGGATCGCGCCGGCTGCGTCGATGGGGCTCGATCCTGCAGCCAGCGGGAGTGATGTTACGGGGCGCACTCGCGCAAGGGCAGGTCGGGGGGGAGCGGGTTAGCTAGTCGAAAGTAAACAAACGGACAACGAGAGGTGCTCTGAGCGCTGCAGTGACAGCGCACTCGGGCATTTGCTGCCGGAGTCAAGCGGGCCGGGGAACGGATCGCGCCGGCTGCGTCGATGGGGCTCGATCCTGCAGCCAGCGGGAGTGATGTTACGGGGCGCACTCGCGCAAGGGCAGGTCGGGGGGGAGCGGGTTAGCTAGTCGCAGTGCAACTACTGAACTTTTCCTAGGGCGACCCACAGGGTCCCAGCCAGGCGCCTGAGGGACAGCGGCGTCCCCCCCGCACCGCGCGCTTGCAGGCACAGCAGGGGCGGTGACAATCGCGCGGCCTCTCCCG